ATGTATTTCCCCCTAGGACCGCCTTTGCCGTATCCCATAGGTTTCGGACCAATGTGTTTTCGTTTTCATTGATTCCATGAATTATTTAAGGTTTTCTTTGATTTCCTGTTTGACCCAAACATTCTTGAGCAGAGTGGTCTTTATCTTCCAAGTGTTTAACTTTTTGCCAAATTTTTTCTTGTGTGAAGTTCCATTTTAAAGCATTATGGTCTGAGAATATGCAGGGAATAATCTCAACTTTTGCTATCAGTTGAGACCTGATTTGTGACCCAGTATGTGGTCTATTCTGGAGAAAGTTCCATGTGCACTTGAGAAGAATGAGTATTCTGTTGTTTCAGGGTGGAATGTTCTGTATATATCTATGAGGTCCACCTGGTCCAGTGTGTCATTCAAAGCTCTTGTTTCTTTGTTGATTTTCTGCTTAGGTGATCTGTCTATTGCTGAGAGTGGAGTATTGAGGCCTCCTACAATTAACATATTGTTATCAGTATGACTCTTTATTTTGTTTAACAGTTGGCTTACGTAGACGGCTGCTCCCATGTTGGGGGCATAGATATTTATAATTGTTAGATCTTCTTGTTGGATAGACCCTTTAAGAATGATATGATGTCCTTGACCTCACTGATATGAGGAATTCTTAATCTCAGGAAACAAACTGAGTGTTACTGGAGTGGTTGGGGGTGGGAGGGATGGGGTGGCTGGGTGATAGACATTGGGGAGGGTATGTGCTACGGTGAGCGCTGTGAATTGTGCAAGACTGTTGAATCACAGATCTGTACTTCTGAAACAAATAACGCAACATATTTTAAGAAAAAAGGAAAAGAAGAAGATAACAGGAGAGGAAGAAAAGGGGAGTATGTCAGAGGGGGAGATGAACCATGAGAGATGATGGACTCTGAAAAACAAACTGAGGGTTCTAGAGGGGAGGGGGGAGGGGGATGGGTTAGCCTGGTGATGGGTATTGAGGAGGGCACGTTTTGCATGGTGCACTGGGTGTTATGAACAAACAATGAATCATGGAACACTGCATCAAAAACTAATGATGTAATATATGGTGATTAACATAACAATAAAAAAATTAAAAAAAAAAAAAGAATGATATGATGTCTTTCTGTGTCTCTAACTACAGTCTTTTTTTTTTTAAATCTGATTTGTCTGATGTAAGAATTTCTATCCCAGCTTTCTTTTGAGGTCCGCTGGCATGGAAGATGGATCTTCAGCCCTTCACTTTCAGTCTGGATGTAACTTTAGGTTCAAAATGAGTCTTTTGTAGACAGCATATGGATGGGTCCTGTCTTTTTATCCAATTTGCAATCCTGTGCCTTTTTATGGGAGCATTCAGGCCATTCACTTTGAGAGTGATTATTGAAAGATATGAATTTATTGTCATCATGTTGCCTGTGAAGATGTTGTTTTTACAGATTGTCCCTGTAAATTTCTGTTGTATATCGCTCTTGGGGTCTTTCTCCTTTTATAGGACCCTCCTTAATATTTCTTGCAGGACCGGCTTAGTGGTCACATATTCTTTGTTTCTGCTGGTCTTGGAAGCTCTGCATCTCTCCATCCATTCTAAGTGACAGCCTTGCCGGATAAAGTATTCTTGGCTGCATGTTCTTCTCGTTTAGTACCTTGAATATGTCTTGCCAGGCCTTTCTGGCTTTCCAGGCCTTTTGGCTTACTAAACAGATAGGTCTGATGTTACTCTGATGTTCCTCTCTCTCTGCATGTAAGGAATCTCTTCCCCCTAACTGCCCTTGAGATGGTTTCCTTGGTTCTAAGATTTGCAAGTTTTACTATTACATGCCGGGGTGTTGGCCTGTTTTCCTTGATCTTGGGAGGGGTCCTCTCTGCCTCTAGGACATGAATGTTTGTTTCATTCCCCAGATTAGGAATATTCTCAGCTATGATTTGCTCAAATATATCTTCTTAGTCCTCTCTCTCTCTCCACCCCTTCAGGGATTCCAATAATTCTAACATTGGAACGTTTCATGGTGCCACGTATATCTCTGATTCTATTTTCATGGATTCTGAGTTGTTTTTCCTTGGCCTCCTCTTTTCCCTTTTTATCTATTAAATGGTCTTCCAGGTCACTGTTTCGTTCTTCTGCCTCATTTACTCTAGCTGTTAGATTATCTAGATTAGGTTGGATCTCCCTGATAGCATTTCTAAATTCTGCCAATTCAGCTTTCATTTCTGCCCTTAGAGACTCTATGTTGCCATTGGTTGATTTCTCCATTCTAGCTATTATCTTCACAATTGCTAGCCTGAATTCCATCTCCGACCCCTTGGTTATATATGAATCCATTTGTAAATCTGCAGCGTAAGTCATAATCTCTAAGTCTTTTCTATTTTGGGGGTTCCTCCTCCTAGTCATTCTGTTGATGGGTGGTTGAGGGAATGTATAGAGTCCAACTTATTGACCACAACCTAAGCAAGATGCACCTGTTTTCTAGGGAACTTAGGGTTGTTGGCCTCTTGTTCTTCCATTCTGTCTTCTGGTTGGGGGGGTGCCTGCTGTGCTGTTACTTAGGCAACCCTGCTTGGGCAGAGTTGCCCTGACCCCTGTGGCAGGGGATGGGCTCAGTGAAAACTGGTTTTTTAGGGCTTTTGTTCTCTGGTGGCTTTCCATGTCTCTAGTCAGAGCAGAAGAGACCGTTTCCAACCCTCTGTCTCAGAGCAGAGAGATTGCAGTCTGTTCTTCAGTGAGCTCTCCAGGCCACACTATCTGTTTCTGTCTGTGCTGCTGTAAACTGCAGTGTCCTGGGTTGTGCAACCCTCAGCAGAGCTCCCATTTCTTGCATCCAGGTCGGGGCACGTGTCTCCCCTTTGTCTTTCTAAAACCACCAGCTTCCGCCAGTTCGCAGGTGTGTCCTCACCCCTCTGGGTTTCCCTACAGGGGACTGCCCTAAATTCCTTTCCCTGATGCTACCCATATGCGAGCCTGTGCCCCGTCCCTAGCATGAAAGGCTATGGCTCACAGGCAGGGTAGGATCCCCATGGCCAGGCTCCCTTTTGTTTATCTTCTGAAACCTGCCTGCAGAATCACTGCTTCCCGCTTCATACCTCGAAACCAACTGCCTGGGATATTGTTTGTAGAGATCCAGCTCTATCTTCTTACATCTCAGGCTGATTTCATGAGTGTTCAGAGAGGTCTGGTAGATATCCAGCTCAATTCAGGGGACCGGTTGGAATAAGGTTCCCTACTCCTCCACCATCTTTTCCCCCCTCCATTTTTATACTTTTATATATTTTATCCATTGGCTCTGAAAAGCATGTATTATATTTGTTTTAATAAGAATGGCCACAATTAAATATTTTAATATTTATATTATACATAAATTAGGTGTTTGAATGAGATGGGCAGTTTTTTAAAAATAGGGATATCTAGCAAAACACACATCTTGGTGATCATCACTATTATCCTCTGATAGAATTATCACATTCTTTGATCTTTTCCAGCTAATTGAGATTTATATCTCAAGTAAAACTGCATGACTTTAAGGTAAATAATGTGATGATTTGATACACATTTATATTGTGAAGTGATTAGCACAATCAAGTTATTAACACACCCCTCACCTCACAGTGATTGTGTGTGTGGTGAGAACACTTGAGAGCTACTCTCTCAGCACCCATCAAGGGTACAATACAGCATTGCTAACTAGGGGACCAGGCTGCCCATCACACCCAGGACTATTCATCGTACACAGTGATTAAGTCACAGACCTCTGCTCTGTCCTATTACAGCTACTACATGAGTAGTTACCAACCCCTCATACATCACAGCACTTCCCTGAGAACTAGGTGCTCACATCCCAGGCAATGCCTCTCCAGATGCCTACAGGTTATTTCTCTTCAGAGCAAGTGTGTGGATGATTTCCAAACACATGGAGTCAGAATTCATTTGCACATATGCAAATTATGTAAATTACATAACAATCTTTAAAATTATTTATGTTAATTATTTTAGTTCATTTTTCTCCTTTTCTCCTTGAATATAAATATGATTTTCTTTTTCTTTTCTTTTTTTTAAGATTTTATTTATTTATTCATCAGAGACAGAGAGACAGTAAGAGAGGGAATACAAGTAGGGGGAGTGGGAGAGGGAGAAGCAGGCTTCCTGCTGAGCAGGGAGCCTGATGCAGGGCTCAATCCCAGGACCCTGGGATCATGACCTGAGCCGAAGGAGAACACTTAATGACTGAGCCACCCAGGTGCCCCTGATTTTCTTTTTAAAAACATTTTCACCATGGAGACTCTTTTTTTTTTTATTATTATGTTATGTTAATCACCATACATTACATCATTAGTTTTTGATGTAGTGTTCCATGATTCATTGTTTGCATATAACACCCAGTGCTCCATGCAGAACATGCCCTCTTTATCATCATGGAGACTCTTGATAACAATTTCCCACTTTTTTCTTTTAATATTCTGCAACAAATACCTCAGACATGTGTCTACTTTTTTTTGGCATGTTTATATATTTTTATAGTACATGCAACTCACAGAAAGAATTAATTCTAATTAAGGTTGAAGTGTTTGAAACATTTTTTATGGAAGGAAATAATGTGCTTCATGCAGTTTTAGGATATTGAGAGTCATGTGGCACAGACATATGTGCGAACACTTCCCCTAGAGACCAGGGCAGAGTCAGATGCGACCCTCAAAGCCCAGAAAATGCCTAAGAGTATAGAATGAGAATTGTCCAGACTTCTGAGACATAATCTGGCAATCTATACAGTAAGCCTAGACTGACATATTTTGGAAAACTGTCTAGTGTTGGACTCAGCAATTAAAATTCTTTGGTAGCCAACTTCCTTCCAGAATTTATCAATCAGAAGTTTGTGAGTAGAGAGGTGTTGCTAAAATTATAGTTACTATTATTTAAAAAGGTCCTTACGAAATAGGTTGCAGAGAGCATTGACTTTGTTTTTTTCTTTACTCTTGGGTTGAGTGTGCATCTTTTCAAAGAGCAGATTTGCATGGTCCTCTAGGATCTACCCACAAGTCAAAACTATTTTCTTACCCAGGATTCTCTGGAGAGCTGCCTTGATCTCCTTGTTCCGTAAACTGTAGATGATGGGATTGAGCATGGATGTCACCACTGTGTAGAACAGAGCTAAGAGTTTATCCATTCCTGGTGAATGGTTGGCCTTGGGTCTCAAGTAGGTGACAGACCCAGAGCCGTAGAAGAGCGTCACTACAAGCAGGTGGGAAGAACAGGTGGAAAGAGCTTTATGGCGGCCTTCCGGTGAGGGCATAATCAGCACAGCAGCTAGGATTCTGCCATAGGAAGCAATGATTAGTAAAAATGGGCTGGAAATGCAAAGAATGGCTGCAACAAAGACTGCAGCCTCATTATGGGATGTATCACCACAAGCAAGAGCCAGGATAGGCGGGAGGTCACAGAAGAAGTGGTCTATTTCACAGGGGCCACAGAAGTTCAAGGAGAAAATATAGTTGGTCTGGCCCAAGCCTACCATGCAACCCACTCCCCAGGAAACAAGTGCCAACTGGGCACACACCCCACGGCTCATTCGGGTTGCATAGTGGAGTGGGGAGCATATGGCCATGTAGCGGTCAAAAGCCATGGCTGCCAAAAGACAGCACTCACTGATACCGAAAAATGTGAAGAAAAACATCTGCATAGCACACCCCTCCCGGGAGATGCCCCCGGCCTCACTCACAAGGCTCTGCAGCATCGTGGGTATGACTGAGCAGGTGTAGCCAATCTCCAAGAGAGACAGGTTGGCCAGGAAGAAATACATGGGCATGTGGAGGCCCGAGCTGGTCCAAATGGCAAGGGCTATGAGGGTATTGCCTGTGAGGGATGCTAAAAACATGAGTAGGATGAGGGTGAATAAAAGGAAACACTGTTCAGTGACCTCAGAGAACTTGGCAAATGCAAAATGCTTGACAGACAGGCTGTTGTCCTGCCACAGGGAGCAGCTGAGATTCATGACCTGGGGGAGAGGACAGCAAGGAAAGTGTTGTTCAGCTATAAATGCAAATCTCTATATTGCTTTTAATGAGCTCTAGTAGGTCAGAGTTACATTTCTTAACTGCAATTCTAAAATTCAAAAAGTTTGGAAATTGCACTTGTCCTCACACCTTTACAACCCAAATCCTGTTCTGTGTTCACAATGCCAGTTGATTTGTTCAAAAATAAACCTAGTCACCAAGCATGAAATTGAAAAAAAAATGAACTTCAGCTCAATTCTGTCTTCCTTTCTTCCATTCATCAGTCGTCAAATACTGCCAGACAAAGGTCCTCTCACACCGGTCCTTTTCTTCCCGTTTCTGTTATCACTGAGTTCTTCACACATGCATTCAGCAAGGGTTTTTTGAGTACAGAGTATTCTGCACTTACTACTTCAGGTCCGAGACTTAACAATGAAAAACAAACAAACACCATTTCTTCCCAAATCGAACTTATTTAGTGAAAGAAAGCAGAAATTAAATGGTCATTCAATGTATAAAGAATTGCTGTAATGCAGAGCATTGAAGCCAGAGTGCATCCTGGGGACTGGGTGTCGGAAGGGGGTTTGGGGCTCAGAGCAGCAGAAGCCCAGATGTGAGGACCCTCACACCCACTCACACCATGTCAACACTGCATGCTGAATTCACCGCTCAAGGTGACAAACTTCCTTACCTTTAATACTTCTCATCTGACAGTCTTTCCCCATCATAGGGTTCTTTGCTATATGGAAATTACCACTGTCTTCAAGTTAAAATTCAAATGTATTCATGTAATTCATGCAAATCCATGAATAGGCTCACTCCCTATTGATAGAAACTTTGATCTTACCCCTTAACCAAATGACCTCATGTTACAGTATATCCAACTACACACACACCAGCAGCTTTTAGTGTGTGCCTTGCTTGCATGCATTTCCTTCTCTTTCTGCTCATTTTCTTGCAGGGGCTTTACATCTGCCTCCTTGACTGTCCACCCAGTAAACTGCCCAGTATGCTCAGATTGCAGGATGCTGTCTTCTCCTCTCTGGAAACTTCTTTCCCACTTCTGCTCTGCCTCACCTCCATACTAGGCAGGGGCACACCCCTCCACGTATTCCCACCACTCAGTAACCTCCATGAGAGCACTCACACCACTCCAAGGACAATCAATTGCTCATTTCTTCCTAAGCACAGTCTTGGACACAGACACAGACACAGACACAGACACAGAATTGTATTTCTCTACCTTTACTTACCATTATACCCAATTCATTTACCAGTGAATAAGTTCTCCTGTAATGAGGAAACGCTGGAAAGCTAAGCTTTACTCCAGCTGCCTGAACGTCTGCCCATGGGTGCTGAGTCTATTTTTTGAAGTTAATTATGATAAATCTCAACTCCCTCAAATGTCCCAAACGTGACAGTTATTTGTCTCTCTACCTAATACCTATGAATTCCTGACAAAACATTCTTCGTTCTTTTGGGGGGTGTACTGCTGTTTGACTTGTTCTTTTGAAATGTCATTAAGCAAGATTCTAAACAATGTTTGCCATGAAAAGGGCAGAAGAACGAGGAGGTTGCACGTCCATTGCTCTGGACTATATCTGTTCGTTAACATAACTTGAGACTGGTTTACACTACATTTGTTTAGAATGCACCACTGTTTATTCCACAGTTATATTTGATGCCAGTATATATGACACAAAGTATGCTTTTTAAGGTTCCAAGTTACTATGAATAGACAAATATATTATGTGCATTCATAAAAACATATGTACAAAAATGTATATTTTTGCATATACGCATTCATCTGTACACCCACACACAAAACACACACATTCAAATCCATACTGGGTAGCATAGGGATTAAGTGTATTTTGGAGGTATTCTATCTGGGTTCAAATCTTAATACAGCCATCTAATGATGGGTCAAAGTTAACGTTTACTTAAACTATTTGTTTCCTCAATTTTCCCACTTATTAAAGGAGATGATAGTGGTATGTCCCTAATGGGGTTGCTATGAGGATTAAGTGAGTTAATTCCCATAAAAGCACTTAGAAAAGTGGTTCAGTACTCAGTAAGTATTGGTCATAGTCATGGCTGCGTCCATGTGTATGTCACCATAGATTTACCTTCATATACTCCCTCTTGTGGAATTTTTTATCACTATCCCTAATCATCCCTCCTGATCTTCATCCCTTCTTCATGTTTTATGCACCTGCTATGATGGAGAGAAGAACAGGAGAAAATACATACATACATTCATACATACATACATACACACATAAAACTGTTACCTGAACATGATGTCCTGGGAAAAAATGGTTTTGTTATGGATCATTTTAATCTACTGCTTTGGATATCCACTGAGCTATGCAAAAGTGCCCAAAGTTAAGAATGGGAACAAATGGGCCAATTCAAAACTGGGAAATATGAAATAACAACTCTGCATGATGACAGGGAGTCCCAGTGCATGTGACTATTGGAAAAGTTGCTCACATGTCAAGTAGTCTATTATAATGCATTTATACATATATTAAAGCATTTGTCAACATTTTCCTTGCATTGTAATTAATTTTAATATGTTTGGTTCCAATGAAGTAAGACAATTCAGGGAAGGATGAAGCAAAGAAAACAGATCATGGTTACTTATCTTTTTTTTTTTATACCCAAAATATTTTCTTAAACATTCTGAGTCTACAGTAGTCAGATTCTCTTCTCCCTCCCTGTCACTTGGCTTGATACTGAAACAGGTAAAATTTGATTTTTAAAATTATACTTCCTATTGTTTTAAGGAGTTGCTCTCCACTGACCTTAGTCTGGAGACCCTGAGGTCCATGTAGTAGAGACCAGCTTTGTGTACATACCAAGAACATTTTATTTTAATCACTGCTATGGAAAGAGTGAGATACTCGAAGCGGGTTCCAGGCATCTGCAGAAAGAGCATCAAACCAGTAGAACCACTGGGTTTGAACATTGCTTCTGTCTCTCACCTGACACATTTTCTTGACTTAAAGTTTCTGATTCATTACTTCCATGTAAAGGAAGGATGATGAAGGCACTTCCTATCTTTCTTGCTGTGTTGTTTGGAGTTAAAAATGCAAACAACTGTAGAGGCAAACTACGAGGAAAAGGTAAGAAATGGCCTTAAAATGCAATTTTTCAGCATCAAAACCTCTTGTCTTTTCAAACATCATGTTAATGAATTTATAGGACACTGCATGGAATAGTCTCTATTATCAGTCTGTATTGTTATATTATATACAAAATAAATATATTCTATATCTTATATATAAATATATTATATATTATTATCAGGCTATAAAAGTAACAGATTAAGAGTCCGTGATCAAGCAAATGGCACTGTCATATAATCTGAAGATATAGAAGTTTCATGCCCAAGAAGAAATTCTATTTGTAGATTCCTATTCAATGTAATAAAGATTAAGTGGCCCTTGAACACTGGTGGGATTCTGAAGGTTTACATATTGAGGTGGACTTTCAGTATCAGTTGGATATATGAGAGAAACAGGAGGGAAATAAGGCAATTTTAATGGCTCAGCCTCATGTGCTGCCTTGCCCAGCCCTAAGAGCCAAGACATCACTCCGTATGTCATTACAGTTTGGAAATAACCCAGCACAAGTGATTCATTTTGGGTCATCTCCACATAATTAGAAATGTTGTTTGACTGACTCAGCCTCTTATGAATCTCTGTTTTCACAACAAAATGTTTCTTTTTTCCTATCAACCAAAGGAAAACATGTTATACGTCATTAGACATTTATCTGAAACACTACAAGAAACACTCAGTAAATATTAATCCTCATTATTATGAAATTTTCATTTCTGAAATTTCTTAATAGGAAATACCATTTATGTAAATGGCTCATTACAGATTATAGAGATGGTTACCCCTTGCTTTCCACAATTTCCCCACAGTCGTTGCACTGAGGACCTGATAACAAGGTGAGGTCTTAACATGATGCAGCAGAAACTATTTTATCATTTGATTGGACTAAGGTGTGCAGGAGAATCCAGGTATTTCTTTCCCCAGCAGTAACAGATATTTCCTGTGCAATAATTAATTTAGAAACAACTCACAGGAATCTTATGACAGAAATGGGTAAACTGAGTAAGTTATACTCTTCAGAAAAGGAGAAAGCAGCTGATTAAAGTCATGGTCAGCACTGAAAAATGCTTCAGGCTTGGCTAACCATGCTCACACTAATCCACCATCTTCCACAACTCTTTTTTCTTAAGACATCCGTTGTGCCATGTACCTGTAATCATAACATTTGAGGGAAAAACAAGATGCTTGTTGCTTCTGATAAGCCAACTCCCTGACTTTCTCTGCTCCGTCCCCTTACCTTACAACCTCTCACACTCCAGATGATGTAAGTCTCCTAGTCCACTAAGACTGTGCGCCCAGAAGCTTTTGTGGTAGTCAGTGCCACGTCTGGTCTCAGGAAGCCTGTGCATCTCATGGGAGAGCATCATGTTCCTCCAGCCATGCCTGAAATGCTCCCCTCTCCCCACACCACAGAAGCGTGCAAGACTGTGTCAATCACAGGGTGATATAGTTAAGGCTTCCTCCTTACTGAAAAACACTGGAGTATGAACATGTTATATTTCAGTTCTTCTTGTTCTGGATCCATATCCTTCCTCCTTCCTCCAGGAGGCACATTACCTTCTCACTGGAAAGTGTGGGAAGACATTTGATTCTGTCTCTCAGGAATTGTCACGGGCAGGTTCTGTCTGATGGTAAATGGTAACATTTAGAGCAACAGAAATAAACATAAAGGACAGAAATCTCAATAGTTAAATATCATGAATAGCCTATACTTTGGAATTCAGCATAAAGAACTTGTTGCCCAATAGCTATTGGAGGAGGAAGGTAAGGTGGTGGAAGAGGAGGGGACCCCTTTTCAACTGGTCCCCTGAATTTTAGCTGGATATCTATCAAACCATTTTGAACACCCACAAAATCAGCCTGAGATGTAA